GGGGGGGGGGGGGGGGGGGGGGGGGGGGGGGAGGAAGGGGCGCGTTGACAAGCAAACAAACAGCAAGGGCATAAATAATTGGAAGAAAGCACTCATCTTGTCCCTTATGCCGCCTCTGGCGTCACAAAAAAAACGCGAGCACTAGGTCAGTGCAGTCTTTCAGCATGCTTCCAGAATGTACGTCGAGTAAAATGATGAAATTTGTGAATAAGATTTGGGGAACTATGATTGCAAATTTTGTTCGAACTGATAACAGGCAGTGAGAGAAATAAGCATGTTAAGAGGCAGAAGGATGAAAGCACTTGGCTACTAGCCTCTAATGGAATTTTGGTATTTACAGCTCGCGAAATGAGCGGAATTGAGGTGATCTCTGGATCTGGACTCTCAAATGGTCAATTGCAGCAGCATCATCAGTTAATTATCTGATTTCCTAGCTACGTCCAGTTATTACTGGTTTGTCAAATTTTTTATCCCATTTAAATGCGCAAAACAACAAAAAGCATTTTTAAAATGCAGTCGCTCGTTTTCTGGATCGGAGAAAAAATGTGAAAACACCTCTTTGAGGACATCAATGTTCATCGCAGAAGAACTTTGATGATATGGGGTGAACGCGTTCGCTGCAGAAGAGACTTTCTGATATGTGTCGAGAAGCTTGCATGCTAAACATTAATAATATGCATACTTTTAAATTTCGCTTCACTTCCATCATTTCGGACTGCGGTGGATCGTGCGGTGCCGGACTCAAATTCTCCACTGTAAACGGATATTCTGACATGGCAGCGCTGTAACAGTGAATGCTTTTTTGTCAGTCTGTCACCTGATTAGCGGGTACACACTTTGAACTGAGAACAAAAACTTCCTGATTCACTCCAACTTGAATTTTCTTCGACTGTAACTTGTGTTATAAAAATTTACAACTCCTGCAAGCAGTTAAATCAAAAGTACGACGACAATTTTTCGAACAAAAGACGCCAAATTCGTCCTTGCCGGAAGCAAATGCCGAATTTGGCCACGATTTGAAAGCCAAGGAAATGATAAATCATCAAAGATGAGAGGCAAACTTCATAAAACACTCAGTATGGACAAACATTTTCTCAATTTCTTGTCCAAAAATTCCAATAAAGACTGTAATAGAACTCAAAAACGATGGGGACCTACGAATTTGTGCTGTATTCTCAATGTGTGAAACTGAAAGAACAGTGCCCACCTCTTCGGTACCGCTGTGTTGAAGGCAATGAAGCACGGATGCGAAATGCGGTCACTCACGAAAGCTGAAGAGCAAGCACTGTCTGTGACAGAAGGAACACACAAAAAGATTTTAAGTTTCTCACTCGCTTTGTTCTGAATTTTTCAGTACAATATGACGCGGTGAACTTTGAAAGGGATTTTCGAGGTATTTGACTGTATTCAATGGCTTTGTTTTCAGATTATTAAAAAATAATCAAAATTTAGAAGTGAATTCATAAAAACAATTTCGAGGTACTCAATGGGTTAGCCAAAAAGGGTAAGTAATAGAAGAAAGAAGTGAGGGCAACAAGTAAAATGCTAAAGAAGGACCGGAAATAATAAGAAAAATAAGGATTAAAAAGAAATGACTAAAAAATGGCTGCACCACCAAGCAGCAATAAACAATGAAATCATTTTGCGCTTCCATACTGACTACGGACACCTGCTCGTAAACTGAAAGATGACGTACGCATGGGTATTGAAAAAACACAGGACATCAACACCACCCCTCTCCCGTCGCTCTCCCACCTCCTCCATCCCGAGCTTGCACATTTCCAGAATGTATCAAGCGCAGTTTTTGCCGAATATCCATCCCAACAGCCATTAAATCCGTCTTCTGAATCACCTACTTCAGTACAAGCAACTAAACAAGCTTTGTACGAAGGAAAAACGAGGACAATCATTTTGTACACAATTAATTTTTATGCGACTTAGAAGCGAAATTAGGAAAGAGTTCCTTCCGAATTACTTGAAAAAATTTTCTGTAATTTATTCATTTAAATTAGCAGCTCATTAGATCCGAAATAAATGTTTTAGAAAGATTGGGAAAGCCATTCAGAAATCAGTAGCAGTTTTTAATTTTCCCAGAAGTAAGTAGTAGATGGCCTCTACGGTCCGCTTCGGAAGCCCGCTCCGAATCACAAACTCACTGACCGGACAACAGCGACGCCACTAATCACTATCACACCGCCTGGGATAGTAAAGCCAGAATGCTTGCTGATCGAAAAAGGAATTTTTTTTACAAGCACGCTCCATGAAAACATTCAAGAAGCAACGAACTTATTAGCATGGAGAGCTCTCTCATCATCCGCTATTCCGATCACAGCCATTGAAAGTTCGTCCTTCAGCGAGCCAGTGAAATCCGCATGAGTGTGCTGATCGAACTGTGATTGTTCTTGTTGCTGCTGATGGTTACCTGGCGGGGAATTTTCATGCTGTTCTACCTGCTGTTGATGCTGACTCTGGTCATAAACGGCCTCATGATACTGCTGATTTTCATGATAAAATTCTTCCGGAAATTCATGCTGCTTACCAAAATTTTGTGAGTCACTCTGATATTCGTATTTCTGCTGTACATTGTTATGGGCTAAACACTGATCCTGATGTGCGTGCGAAGAATCATCATGGTACTGCAGTTGTTGATTTTGGCTGGGATCAGCATCCTGATGGTGCTCCAGCTGTTCATTTCCTTTTCCTTTATCGTTTTTTTCTAACACTGATGCTTCCAGGTTCACTGGGGATTCTCGAGAATTCGATTCACTTGATGATACAGCGGTTGTGTTTGCTGTTTTTGTGGTGTGCTCCGCCAAACTGATGTCCTTTTCATCTTGTCCTCTCTCCCAATGACTTTCTTTCATTGCACTGTCTTTGTCATGTTCTGGATCAGCTTCACTGCACTGCAATTTAAGCTGCTCTGCCTTACATTTCTGCAATGATTTATGTTTAGCCTACTGAAATTCTCTGTCAACACAACAACCGATTAATACTTAATAATAAAACCCTGTCAACCCAAAAGTGACAAATCGCCGACAAGCATTAACTGGGCAGCTGGAATTCATGCAAAATAACCTTGGACTACATATTAATATGCACAAACATATAGCCAGAAATTAACATTTGCTGAAAACATAGGCGGGTCCAGGACGGCTTCCTGTGAGGAGAGGGGCGGGGGGG